TATATCGTTATTATTTATTGCATAGCATATTTGTTTAGTTAGGCTTCGAATGTCATTTCCCATTAGCCGTAAGTAGCATAGTCAGCCAACCAATAGCTGATTTATCGCTACGAACGGATTCGAGCAAATAAATCATCCATCAAAACAGTACCGACTCAAATGGTCACTCAATTCCTCACATGGTCAATCTAATGGTCATTCTGCTAGCCACTTCCCCAGTCATCTCATTGATATTTCGTCCATTTGTTTGACTAGCAATCACATTCAATTCATGTCTACAATATAAACATGCATAAATGTCTGCATGTATTTCGCTTTGTTGCGCTCATGTGCGCAGTATACAGTTGATCACCAATATCTCTGACCATGTGACCATTAAAAGACTTAGTTATCGTGTAGCGTTGCATTTGAATGCAGATTTTAGCAAGCAGGATAGCAAAAACGTGCGTGTCTGAAACTGCCGTTGGATTCAGGATGTGAATCTGTGAAGAATGTGAAGAGGCCTTCAGAAAAGGAAATTTTCCAGCAAATTTTCAGATATTCTCACATGCTCAAGTTTTTTGATCCTATTAACGACAGCTGATTTCGATGTGATATCAGCTGGAAAGGGATCGATGATATTGAAGCAACTCTTTGGTTCGTTAAGTTACCAGCTAAATATGCAGTCCAACCGAAAAGATCTCATGAAAGCCAGATTTCATTTTGATTTGAACTTCAGATCAAATGTTTTGCTGTGTTTACATGATCCATCTCGATAATTCATCTCGATAATAGGGTGATAAAATTTTATGAGCTATCTGAGTATCGGAAAATTCAAAGAAATTTTCAAATTTAACATTCGATCCGTTCCAATTTGGAGTCATAATTTTACACCATCACTACGAACACGTCTATTCAATAAAAGAGCTATAAAATGATCTTATGTGCCCTATTGAGTTCATCATACACCACGGAAGATATTAATGGCACATTCAAATATGTGGTCGGTGAACGGAGAACGATAAAGCTGCATTAGGAGAATATTAATGATGATTTGATTATACTGATGGTTTGAAAATGACCAAATACAGTCATAAAAACGGAAGTATTCATATGAGATAGTGGTGATATGAAATAGACATATCAATAGATTAATATGAGATAGATAAATAGACGATCGATACGAGATCAATGGTGATAGAGGATTATTAATCGCTTATTATCATAAGTGATCAGTGGTGTTGCTTCAGGGAAAGGGAAACTAACAATAAAATTACTGAGAAATGTTTGAGAAACAAGTTATTAGTATTGGTATTCGTTGACATAGCAGCATCAAATCATAAAGAGTAACAAATCAAGTGATCTTAACGCAAATCAATGCGACATTGTCGCACATTGTTTAGATAGCGAATAAGATAACGATGATAGTTTTACGATAATTTCCACTGATTACTTCACACACGTACACGTCATATTTTATCCAATTGTCATCTAAATGTATGATTAGATAAACTCTGAGAATACGTGCTAAGTGCACAAACACCCATACCATAAGTAAGATATACAATCAGGAACGGAATTTTTAAAATTTTTGCGATCCACGTCCCAAATGCACAATGGCAAAGGAATTTTCTTAAGTTAGTGTGGATAAGTCCATTTTTTCCTCCTTATATGGACGAATGAAAGGTGATCTACTATGGAGGAAATTTGATCTTCAGAGGTAAACTGTTAATTTTAAGGTTTAAAGTTGAGGAAAGTGGTTATTATGAATAAACTGCTTAATCTGATAGACAATTATCGATGACAAATCATTCAGCTGAAGGTAAAGGCGATCACAATTTAAATGAATCTTCACTCATTTTCAGCGATATATCTTCTGCAAGTTCATGCGTCATAAGAAAGCCTCAATTTCAAATTGTTCATAATGATCGTAGGTAATTAAAGCTCTAATCACCCTTTGCTTTACTTCAATGTTTTGAGCAATAACTGAAGAAAGGCGATCACAGCAATTGTATTCGACGTAATTCAGAGTCAGAGCCACATCGTAATTACAGTAATTAGTGTGTAATCATCTTTGCAGATTTTAAGTTGTTTCTTTTTGAATTTTCACCCTGTAATCTCAAATCTCAATTCGTTTTCGATCTTTAACCATGAATTTTCTTAGTTCATAGCAATTTAAATGAAGTTTCAAAATTTCACATTGTTTATTCATTTCTTCTTCATCACCGCTTATAAAGACAGTACATATTGTTTCATCATTTTCTTTTAATTTCAAGAACTCGAAATTTTTGACTTTTCAACGTGTTTTGCGACATTTCAATCTCTTTTAATTGTAACGTACCAATAATATGTAGTGATATGAATAACAATAATAACACAACATAACAACATCATAAAAACAACGATCTGCAAATGAGAAAGCATTGTGAACATATGGCAACGATATATGCTATTGAAAAAACAATGAAAGGTGAGTAATAATTTGCTTAGATATCGACAAAACTATTGAGTCTCTTGAGGACTTATCTCCTTCTGTAGATCAAAGAAAATAGCTGATCGGATTGATTCTTTCAAATTCACTCCCCAGTCAAGAAGCAGTAAAACATTCTACAACTTTAAAAGAATAATTCTGGTGATACTTCAATACATTAAGTGATTACTTACCTATAGAGCAGATTCGTTGAATTTTTTCGTTTTAAAATTCCTTGCTTTTAAAATTTCCAGCAAATACTAAAACATTTGGACGGAACTATCTTAAATAATGATCAGTAAAATAGGAAAATTTTCAAAAAAAAAACGTTACAAGCAATTTCGAATCGTGATCAATTAAACAAACAAGGACAGTGATGAAATTCCCGCAGCAAATGACAAATCCTTTCTGATGGCTATCGTAGGATTAGACGAGAATGAGGAGTTATGACCGCAGGGAAGATAGTATTTACCACCTGGTAGGGCAATTGAGTGTTTCTTTGAATTCGGTTTCGCCATCAAAACAGATGGATAACGAAAAACAACATTTGGACAAGAACAAACACGAAAACAATCCATCATCAACAGTCCGTTCGTTTTTCGTATCCGGGGACTCGCCGTTTCGCAAACAATTATTTCGAAAGACTTTGAATTTCACTCGTACATAGAATCAAACTTGCCACCAAAATTTCACGAAATAACATGAAAGATTTCACAACATACACTGAATATTTCACAAACGGTTTGCACAATTTAGTAAATTAATGAGAGAATAAGAGGAAGAGATCAAAACTTTCACTCTAAATAGGCAAAAGGTGAAAAATTTTCACAGAATTCTTGGACAAATGATTGAAAACGCTACTACTTTAATTGCAATATCATAAACAATAAACTTAACATGTAATAATAATTTTACATTCATTTCCTCCATATTCTATTCTTTTCGCTTATACACAACAAAATATTAACATATGAACAAACAGTTCAATTATTTTATGGAATCTTATGGATATGTACTAAAATTGACACAAAATGATAGAATCAGATTGAATTTTGAGGTGCTTTTGAACAGATTGTATACTGGAGAGTGACAGCCATTTCACGACACATTCCTGATGGATCGTTTTCGATCACGTAGACTGTGTAAGCCAACCATTCGTTTACTGATCCTGCAACAGGGATTGGTACTACTGCTATCACTGCTGGCATTATTATCACTGTTGTATGTATTATTATCATTAAAAATTATCAGTGATATGAACAAAATGTACCGGTAAAAAGCGTGAAGAAAACATCATCCGGTAAAGCGCGACAGATAGCATCGTAGCAAAGTAGAACAGCTAATCGAACACTTGCATCCTCATGCGAGATCAGTTCTCTCACGCAAACTTCAAGCCACCTGCAATGATAACGAACACAATACCATCTTATTATAGCTTATCATATATTCTGAATATTGCAATACGCTTGGAGATTACTAAAACCAAAATTTTTCCTTTAAAATGCGAGGAATGAACTGAAATTTTCAACTACGATTGATTCTACGAGAGATAACTTTCTCCAACAGTCAGTGGGTATGAGTTGATGAATTTTGGTTAAAATCGAGTGAACTCAGAGCACTCACATCGCTAATCTTGGAGCATTGAGGCAATTTCGTGCACATTGCATGAGATGAGCAGCCGTAGTGAGTATTTTGGCCAACAGACTGCTATCCTCTTTCTGAAAATGTTTCAGTTTCACTACTAAATGGCGATAGTCTGATAGAACAATCCCATTTGAAAACAACTCATGAATACCCTAAGATCCAGGTGTTCTCTGTATTGGTTGATTGCGAGCAGAGGCCTAAGAAATCCAACAGCATGTTCTCCGAAACGATTCTTTTGGGGTGTTGACGTGGACGACGAAGCCTTCTGGCTAGTGAATCGACGAGTCTTCTTCTCGAGTCGTTCCTCAATGACACCACGCCAATCGCTCGATGGTGCAGCTGGAAATTTTTGCTTTGTCGTGCAAATAGACTGATTTTCCTTGAGAAGACCTTCGAGATATTGAATCTTCATATATGGTTTCAATCAAAATATGAAAATTTTCAAGTTTCTGAGTGAACTTAATGAATAATTTTGTTGGAGATTCAAATGCCACTTACTTTCGTTGCTAGTTTCTGGGTTATCAGGTGTTTTTGATTGTCTTTGTTGTTGCCTCCTATTGGTGGGATCAGTGGATAGGTCAGTAACCTTAGCGGATGCAGTATCCAGCGTTGAGAGCTGGGTGGCTGATTCAGCCAGACAATTCAGTATCAAATAACGATAACACATCGGAGACCTACAAATGACAAAATGAAAATTCTCCATATTTAATGAAATTTCCAGTGTTTCCAGAATTTCTTCAGACTTCAAACAGGCACTCTCACCTTCTTGAATACATGAGATCGATTAACATTGGCGCTAGATGAGGACTCATCACTAAGCACGAAACGATTATTTCGAACTTTCGCTCCTGAAAACATAAATTTCTCAACTGTTCACCTATGTGATAGCATTTTTTCTTAAGAGAATATCGCTTGAAGAACTGGAAAGTTTTAGAAATTTGATCGAATGCAGTCGAAGAAAACAATGAACGCACCTCAAATTTCACCGTACTGAATCGATCTTCTAAGAAAACCATTTTGGTCACAAGTTCCTCTGCAATATCGTCGTAACCTAACGCCCGTTTCCTTAAAACGAACCCATTACCTCTGTAATTCTTCGTGCAGACTTAACATACCAGTTCAATGTCATTGGGTTCAGCTGATGAAAGGATACGATGAAAATTTGTTTGACAAATTCCAAAATAATAACACAAAATATCGAGAATTTGAGAAATTTGCAAATTTTCAAAAATAGACTGATATTTTGTAGCTTGGAAACATATAGGAAGGACCTTATGAACTGATTAAGAACTCCAAAGGCTGCTTCAAATTTAGCACAATTCTCATTTGCGCCCAGTGCATCCATGCAATCTCGAATGTAATAAGGTGCTGGTTCAGGCTTCTCGAATGTCTCATCGTCTTCATCACCTGACGGTTTCTGAAGTAAATCAACAGATGTATGGGAATTGGAACTTTTCTGATTTTAATCAAACAGAATTACGATCATCAAATAATTGAGGAAAACTAAGAAAAGCTGCAAAAAATACGAACTTTTTCACTGAGATTCAACTCTTGTTCAGGGATTTGATATGATGGAAAATCATCATCGTCATCACTATCTAACTGCGATGGTGGTGCTCCTTTTGTGCTCAGTTTTTCCAAATTCCTCGACAATTTCTCTAAAGAATTTTCATTTTTCTCATTGTTCAAATTGTTGTTTTTCATGGCTTCGTTGTTTGCTTCAGCTGATTTAGATAACACTTCCAACTGATCTTCATCAACAATCGCTCGCAGATCGACCAATTCTTGTCCCATTTCAGGTGTGATGTCAAATTTTAAATCATGACCGAAGGATAACCATTCCGTGAGCTTTTCTGCAAACAAAACTGTATGTAATCTAATTCATTGAACAATGATAGATGAGTTAAGGCAGAGGTATGCTATAGGGTAGATACGCTATCGATAGGAATGAATAGTCGCAGATTTAGCAGCTTTCATGATGGTACTCAAAACTTTGCGAATGATCTTATAAGTGGTTTCGGAGAAACGTGAACGTTTACAATAGTAAAGTGATGATTATCTGACGATGAATAACAATAATCACAACAAAGCAGATCACTTAAATAATTGAAAATTGAAATGAAATTCTTGAAATCATGAATAATTGAAATTCTTGTCATAATCAATATAAATAGGTACCTGTAATGAACAAACCACGAATTTTACGTCTTGTATCGCTCGATTTCAAATGATACTGAGTTCCATTCAATAACCATTCTTCAGCTAACCATTTCATTCCTTTTCTCACTTCATCTCTACAAGTTTTTTCTTTTCATAGAGGGAATAGAAACGAGTACATGAGAAGTAGCTTTTCAACAGTCAATTTTGAACTCAAAAATAACGCGAAGCAGCTAAAATGTACTAAATGATATGAAGATCAAAAAATAGACGGATAATGATCGAATTTCTAATTGAAATAGCTGGCTGATTTGGTTTTTGAGGAGATCAAAGACGTGCTAACTAAATCAGCGGTTATATTCTCTATGATTCGGATGAATCGCAACTGGATAATATTGTATTAGCACAATTTAAAGCTAATCAGTGATGAGATCAATGCCAATGATCACAGGGCACTTTATTCTTTAATGCGTTAAAGTATTACTTTGCATACTTGACGAAACACACCAGAGCGCATTCGATATAAGTTAATTGTTCGTCTGAAGAGTGAAGTAGATGTGACTTTTGTGACCAGACTTTTAACAACCGAATTGCCGTTTCGATATATAAATTGACCCAGACCTTTCGAGCTAAAAACTGCTTGCTCTTGTTTTGGTTACACTATTAGATGATTAGATGTTTATTCAGCTATTTAAAGTGAACTCTTGAAAAGTTGATTGCTAACAATATTCCAGTTGAAAAAGTGTTGAAATTTCAAAAGTCAAAAAACTTTAACTGCATTTCATTTTAAGATGGGAAGCCTTTGATTATAGCTTCGACAATTTAAAATTAAGATTGTCTGAGATTATGAAAAACAACCACATATATGTATATACGGGAAATTCTCTGTATATATGAAAATCAGCGGTTACTCTATCATTCGTGGTATCATAAACATTTCAGAAGCCCCATAAAACTTGATTACTGATATGATCTGTTGCATTGGAAATAATTATATATGAGTGCTCATCATAAATAGTGTGTGTCATCCTCGGTATTTTACACATAACAGAAATCTTTTCTTAGAAGCGAAACCTTCAGTAGATGTG